AACCGTCCCTTAAAAACGTCACTTGGCTGAACCACGATTTCAGTTTTCTGGAGACCTAGACAACTATGCGTTCTTGTAATTTAGCTAAAGTATTTTTTAACAGCCGGGTATGTTGTTTCAAGCATTGCTTTGGAGCCGATTTAAAACACACGTCAAATGCCCACCCTTACAACCAGAATCTACCAAGAGGGATGACCTCTGGCTCTGGACCCGGCACCATGAGGTGAGGCCTCACCAAATGGCAGAAGGGCTTTTGCTGTGGTAAACGGCGTAGCCCTGAGCCTCTTCTGGCTGCCCAGAAGTCTCATCTGAAGCCTTTCAGGGCTTCGAGCTAAGTTCGTATACCCGTCACCCATTTCAGAACACTTATTCAGGTTGTAGCACCTTCCATTACGGGGATTATACAGCAGTTTATTCTCTCGTTTCTACGACGATAGCAAGAACTGTCTTTAAGATGAACTCTGGCTAAGAGAAATGGTGAAGACAGGTTTGCCAGCAGTATCCCTGCAGTAAACATGGCTTTTTCCAGCTCTGTGGAGTTCAGAACCGGCTACGCTGGCATCAGAGTCCAGGTGGCTAAGTTTGGTAGTTGGCATCAGCAGTGAAAGCACTGGGTAAATAACTGTGCTGTGGACTTCTGACTATCAGGAGCCGGAGAAATATCCCTGCTCATTGCATATGAGCCCCTAAAGAACAATCGGTTCTCTAGTCAGCACTATGATAGGCTATATTCAAACAAAACTGGAGGTGGAAAACCCTGCATCCTACATAAAAAATGCAGGATAGCCTGCTGAATATCAGTTTCGGTAATGCTGGAGGTACTAAAAGTGTTCAGAAAACCGTAAGATGGCACAGCTATTAAAATCTTAAATTTCAGCAACATTTCTGTATCTCACTTCATTGCTGCCTGATTCTATACTGCTTATCTTTAAAATCCATGCCATTCAGCACTATGCATTAATTTCATGCATGTATACATAATCTATATATACCTATATTTCTGTATGTCATTTTAATCTCAGGCATGTTATTTGTGTCTGCTTTAAAGTAAAGCTTTGGTTTTGTTCTTTATAAAATAAAGTGTGCTATTACTCATATGTATTTCCTAGCTTGAGTGTAGTACAAGATGCCAGCTCTTTCATCTGTTCAAAAAGGTATGTGTTTGTGTGGAATATACTAGCCGTAATTCCTAGTTTTAGAGATTTTGATGTGTAACTCTAGAAGTGCTTTATGAAATAAGGGAAGCATAATTTATCCTTTCTATGAAAGCAGGATGCAGGGAAGTGAAATGACATGGCTGCACCTTGAATACTGTGTTCAGTTTTGGGCCCCTCACTACAAGAAGGATGTTGAGATGTTGGAACGTGTCCAGAGAAGGGCAACAAGGCTGGTGAGGGGTCTGGAGAACAAGTCTTATGAGGAGCGGCTGAGGGAACTGGGGTTGTTTAGCCTGGAAAAAAGGAGGCTGAGGGGAGACCTCATTGCTCTCTACAACTCCCTGAAAGGAGGTTGTAGCGAGGTGGGTGTCGGTCTCTTCTCCCAAGTAACTGGCGAAAGGACGAGAGGAAATGGCCTCAAGTTGCGCCAGGGGAGGTTTAGATTGGACGTAAGGAAAAATGTCTTTACTGAAAGAGTGGTTAAACATTGGACCAGGCTGCCCAGGGAAGTGGTTGAGTCCCCCTCCCTGGAAGTATTTAAAAGACATGTAGATGAGGTGCTTAGGGACATGGTTTAGTGGGCATGGTGGTGTTGGGTTGATGGTTGGACTTGATGATCTTAGAGGTCTCTTCCAACCTTAATGATTCTATGATTCTATGACATAATAAAGGTGCTGTAACTGCTTGTTAGCCAAACTAGAAATACAGTATGAACTGGTTCTTAGTCCTGGCTCAGCATATGTTTGCAGTTTGGACCATTAAGTCTCCATTTAGGCACTGCTGTGGTTGCTGAAGTTGTTGGGTCAAATGACTAAGATGGCAAAGCTATTGATTTTTTTTTTTCATTTTAGTAGCATTTTTGTATCTCTCTTCATTGCATCCCACAGGAAACTTTTGCAGCACAGTACTCTGTTTTTTCCTCTCATACAGTTATGTCATGAATCATATTTTAACATAGAAACTAAACGACTAATACATTTGTGAATGAATATACTTGAGCTGAAAAGCTTACGTCAGCAATTTCTGAGCCAGCAACTGTCTCGTTTCTTATCCAGAAACGTGTCAAAGTGCCCTTTATAAACCCACAGAGATGATCTGCGTCTTTGTCCACTAGCAGGCTTAGAGGACAGATTGAGACTGACTACAAAGATCAGCTTCTGGAGTTGACAGGATTTTTAAATTTTTCTCATTTCCCAGAGTATTTTCTTTTGATTAGTGAAAACTGAACATTTTCCTGAAACAGTGAAGAAGACTCTCGGTGATTTCCCATTATAAAACAGTATCTTCTCCATCTCTGCCCTTGAAAGCAACAGGATGGAAGGAGCAGAGGAGAAAGGGGAAAACAAACCCTGCTGCTGCAGCCAAAAGTTGCGGTTTTGAACAGCTAGTTTGGTTTTGAACATCTACGTGAGTCATCACACTGTAATAGTCACAGCAAAGAGGCTGCT